TCGGAATTTGCAAGAGGAGGCATAGTGCGCGCATCCGAGACAATAGGTGAGCTCGAAAACACGAGATCAAGAACATGGGAGCGGTGTGTTGGTTCTGTAACAAACTGCTTCAAACTAGAGTTACGGAAAAACTCAAGATAAATTGATGAAGTTCTATTAAGAGTATGAGGCTCGGGCCAACTTATCTGTAGATCAAAATCTCCCAAAACTATTGTCTTTTCGTATTCGCAAACAAATTACACAACAATTCGATTACTTTTTTCATCACTTGCAAATGAGCTATTTGGGTGACGCCGCTAAAAAGCGTAATCAGGTAGGCTCACGTGAGAAGGATATATCGATATAGAGGGTGTTTGACATTGTACTATTGTCAATAATGCAAGATTTGACTAGAAAAGTACTTTTTGCTAAGCAGCAGACTCCACCGCCTCTGCGGCTATGTCTGTCTACACGCAAAATTGTATAAGGAAAATTTCCTATAACTCCATTATCACTTTTTTCCCGTAAGCCATGTTTCCGTATTAATAACTATATCAGGCTTGTGCTCTGACAGAAATGATTGTAAATGATGTATTTTCTTTACTAAACTTCTAGCATTTAATAGAAAAACTTTATTTCTTTCTTTTGCACTTTTACGCGTTTTCCGATCTCCTCTTAGGTAGGTTATAAACGCGCACTAATTCACTCTTGTAAATTACCCATCCCTTGCTCGCTTTCCCTTTATTTCTCTTACCGGCAATTTGGCGCAGCTCGAACTCGCGCCTTCGCTCCTCCTCCGTCATGCTCCTGCGTATGAAAACGCTAGAATAACCAGTAGACGGAGGAGGTGAGCGTTCGCCAATGCCCTAGGCCAATAAAAGGTGGAGGGCATGACTACTTTTATTAGACGCGAGTTCGTGCTGTTCGCTTTACTAATCCAAGACACCTCCGAAGGGGTGCAGTCCGCATCAAGAGCGTCAAAAATATCATCTACCTTATTTTGGAGATATTTTCGACGCTCTGATGGCCGCATCCCCTCCGGAGGTTGTGGGACGCTAATCACCAAACTGCGTCCAGGTTATTCCGCCTCGACCACCTCCGAAAATCCGGAAGAGATTTTCTCAGCGAAAACCCTCACCATTGTTTGGATTGTCGGGTCCTTATGCAATTCTGAGATTGACGAAATCAGGTTCCTGAATGGACATGGACCACAAAAGGAAAAGAAAATGAAAAAAAAAGCTATGTGCGAGGGAAGAGCTTAAAAACCAATCAAAACAATCCCAGAAGAGGATCAGAAACAAACCAAATAATGCAAAAACGGACAAAAAGGATTGTACGAGGGTAAAAACAAAACTATTCCTTTGTACAATATTATCATGTATCTTGGCAATATTTTTATGCTATCTCCAGAATATAGCGCACAGAGAAAAGAGCTAACGCCGCCGCACTAGGATCGACACGTTCGTGAAAATGAATATTCCGGGAATTTCGCGATATTTCCAGGATCTCGCGAAATTCCCGTTCTATAGGTGGTGCTGTACATTGCACAGCACGTGTGGTATTGCACGATGTGTGCTTCGTATGCGATTTCCAGCCATTCCCCTTTGTCTTTCTGCATTTTGGGACCCGTCATACTTCACCGAGAAGAACCTAATTTCACACTTATAAGTGCAGAATGAGCCTCTGAATTATACCCACCGTATTTCTGCGGTGCGTAGTAGAATGTGGCCTTCGGAATCAGCACACTGAATAATCCATTTACACCAAAATTCCAAGAAAAAAGCTATTTCCCACGGCTAGGCACCTCCATATGCTGGAAGATGCGCCTCGCCGAGCTGAGCTGAATGATACTCTTAAATATAGAATTCATGAACTTTGAGTTAAGATAAGGTCTTTCGACGAATTCTAAAAAAGTTAGGCGGCGGCTCCCAAAGTTAGGTGCCTCCCGCCTAACTTTGTCGCATGACGCGGCGCTTCCGCCTAACTCAGGCGGCGGCCGCCGCTTAACTTCGGTGGCCGCCGCCTGAGTTAAGTGGTCGCCGCCAATTTTTTTCACAAATCACGAGCGGTATTGTACGCTGCCGGCTGGATATGATTAGTTCTTAATGAGTTTCGCTCTTTCTCTGCGCTACAACGTAAATCTCGCGGTACCAACTCCAATGATGAAACATGCCCAACACAAAGTTGCACTCGCTTCGCAACTAGACCGACCCTCCTCTTCAGGAAAAAATCTTTTATTCAAAGTTCGTGTGTGTTATCATTAGTTTGAAACCAATCGTCCCGTCCAAAGTGTCATCCGTGTCGTTGATGACGGGCGTTAGGCGGGGCTTAGGTCGCGGCTACTTCGCTTGAGTTCTGAACCTCTTATCACTTCCCCACTACAAGCGTGGGAAAAAGACAAATCTTCGATCATTGATCAAGCCTGAGAAAACGATTGCAGAGCGAACCCGCGAGAAAGATGCAGAGCCCAGGCGATGTGATAGAGCGGAACCCAAGCCCTACTCAGCACTGTCACTTCTGATACAGAAGGTAAGGTAGGCGCCAGACTAAGCGACTGTTTTGTTCAGCTGCAGAAGGCGCGCAGCTGAAGCAGGCAATCGTGCGCAAAATTAACACATTGACGACTAAAGCCTTTCTCGAACCAACCAACAATTTTCAGATAAATTACGCACAATTCCATCTACACTACACTCACAGTAACGCTGGAATGCTGTCAAAACAGTAGAGGTTGTATCTAGATCCAGTATAAAAGAAAACTCCTAGAGTTTGTTTGACACAAATTAGTAGCCATTTCAGTGGGAGTCACGGTGTGTCAAACCTTGACACACGATGACCGTAGTATCCCCCTGACCTGATGGCATGTTCGCGGGCAAGTCGTCGGCATCTTTACGTGAAATCGGCGGGAACACCCACCTCAAATCTGTGCCCTCCAAAGCATTTTCACCACGATTCTACTGGTCGAGGAGATCATTGTGACCTTGGACTCACTTGGCAATTGGAGAATCTAAGAACCCCCTAAACAAAATTTTCAAAGTAGACAGCAAGTGCTGGCGGCAGCTTTGCGAGTTGACCTGGCGGCATCTCGTCGAAATTTCAGCGCTGAGAGATGCCGCCAGGTCAGAGAGTACGAAAAATAGCGTGCTTTTTTGAGAGATCAAGGTGCCTCCATCCCGACGTGCCCCTACCATGTCGAGATGGTGGCACTTGCTGGCGGCGTCTGCAAGTTTGGGTAGTGCGGCAATACCACACATTCCACGTCAAGCAGAAGAACCAAGAAAATTCGCTTTCCATCAAAAAACCATCATTTTTTTCGTTATACGGGTTTTCCTCGTTAAAATTGATGCTAATTAAGTAAAAGAAATGTCTAGTTATCTTATAGAACAAAAAAGAACGTCATCTTCTTTTTGCAAGTCCTCCAATCTTGTTTGCAACGATTTTAGCTCTCTCTGCTTATTCACACGAAGTTTTGATGAATGCACTCAGCTGTTCTTCCAGGTCAACGTCTATCGCGCAAAGTATTGATTATGCCCTCTCACAGGCGCCACTGACCTGTACGTTCCTGTAATGGCTGCCGCAAGGAGAGACAAAATGGCCGCGTGATCGAGTGGTAGTGCGGCGGCGCTGGAAGTTGGCGGGTTCGAACGCGATCGGTGTCGCTGTTTTGCGATTGTCTGATTCATCAAAACTTCGTGTGAATAAGGATTGCGGACCAAGACTATTTGAGATTTTTGCTTTTACCAAAACCTAAAAGCAATCCGTGAGATCCCGCCGGAGTTGGCAACTTTCCGCGATGTGTGCCAACTTGGCGGCATCTTTGATGCCGCCAAGTAGGGTAGATTACTACCGGCCCATGTGTGTCAAGCGGTCGCCACTGTGTTAATGTTAATCCTGCGCGCCTTCTGCAGCTGAATAATAAAGTTGCTTAGTCTGGCGCCTACCTAAGGATGGAATGGCGGTGGGCGGGCGTTAGGTACCCACCCATTAGTAGTTCACACTAATTCACGCCCCTTAGTTGCTTTAGCAGCAGGTATCTAACGGTACACCAAATCCCAGCTGCTAGAGTAGCGCACTCTAGCTTATCAGATCGCTGCAACCCACAGAGAAAGACAACTTCCAAATTCAAAAAAATTTAAAAGAGGAAATGCAAAAAATTCGCGAATGAAAGCTCATGTACACATCGCTTTTTCTACTGCTTCTTTTTTAATCAATTTTATAATCAGATTTTGAATGAAATATGTATCAACTTGCACGTTGAAAGCTTAAAAAAGGCTAAATTATTTATGGGAATAGCTGTTAGTAAAAACAAAGTCCTTGAATCCAATCTCAACATGTCGTGGCTGCTCTGAATCGTTCTTTATAAGGTTCGTTATAAATTCCTAGTCAGCTCAGTCAAACCAAGCAGACGGCCTCAGAAAAACTTCTTCAATCACACTTGCGACCACCCACTTTCTTATGCTTTGAGATGACAAGTTGAGCTGTCATACGGCCGCCCATCAAGTGCTGCGGTGAGTTCAACTTGCTGCCCGTATGTAGTGGGTCGTAAGTTGAACTGACGCAGATAGTGTGCAGAAGCGGAGAACGAGACGAAATCTCGTAATTTGCTAGTGAGTAAATCAATAGACACTTTAGTTGATGTAATTCCAGAAGCGAATTCTAAGGGCCTACGTTGTAAGGAACAATGAACAGCCTAATTCGGTTTAAAAAAAACGAGAAAAAACGTATTTTTGCAAAGTTTTTAAGTTTTGTTTGAAAAATCGCATAGAACGAGAATCTTTTCGTTCATTTTTTTCTATTTACATTTCAACATGAATGTTCCGTGAAATTTTCGTCAATATGATTTACATCCATCTGCTTGACAAAGACCTTGAAGGCGGCCTCATCGAATTTGCGACAATGGCTGCTACCAGCGATTGTTCAGCAATGCGACAAAACCATGCCACAAGCAGGTCTTCATAATTTAAGGCATAATAAAAAGAACTACACATGCCTCCACATTAGGCTGTACAGCGAAGATTGCCCACCTGAATCTTGCTTTCTGTGGTCATTATATCTTCTTCGTTTGTGGTGATGATTTCCTCCACTGTTGTGGTTGGAGATGTAGTCGTTGCAAGAGTGTCAAAGTAAATCCAGTCACTCCAGGGACCCATGCCGCCGTTAGTGAAACAAGCGACCCTTGCTTGGAAACTTGCTAGAGATAAATAAAATAATAATAAAAATCGTTCTTTTTATTTTATTGTATATCAATTCCTCACTCTCTGTGTACAGCCTTCTGAATCCTATGCTTCTGATCCCTCGTGTGGCGTTATTGCTCACACACCATAAAGCCTTGCTCCAGAAACAAACTTCTACCTAAAGTTTCTTTTGTAAAGAGCATCACTTACTACAAAGTTATAATCTTCTATACAGGGTGTCCCGAGAGTATGTACTTAGTTTTGGTCGCTAAATTCTCTTTTCAAGAATTCGTTTGCTCTTGAGTACTTTTTCATAGAGCTGGCTTCAACACAGATTTACAGTACGGAGCAAGCTCTTCTTTACTGTAGTACGGCAAAAACTTTCAAGAAGGTTTCAAAGCCACTAGAATTTTGCTTCAAGAAAGAAACAAAACGACTTAAAAGGTTTCATCTCGGCTGATAAATTGCTGATTTCAAATATGAAGTTTGAGTCTTATCATAATGCTTAGTTAAAAAAAATGCCAACCATACAGCAGCAGCTTAATGTTTCCAAAAGCGTTTTTACAGCGTTTCAAAGGCTTCACAATCCTGTGAAAGTTTAGTGAATTTAGCATGCATGAAAGCCGTGTTTACACAAGTCTCCCCGAATTTTTAGGAAATTTTAAAAGGCCGGTTTTTCATTATGGCACCATGTGCCAGATTCTCACGTAATTTTACAGTAATGACGGCCGGCGGAGTTCGCTTCATACGGTTAACCTTTGAAGCCAGCTCTACGAAATGATGCCTAGAGGTAGGCAAAAGACTTTTTGGAATAGGCAATATTAACTTTCAAACTGTGGGTACATGCTTTTGGGACATTTTTTGTTGGTTGTTGGTTTTCAGGTTGTTCCAAGAACTTTTCGACCTATTGCAAAAAAAACGCCATACAAAAGTGGCAATCAAAGACAAGCTAACGCAAGTTTTTCCCCCACTCTATTTAGGCGTCATTATTATGATATTTTGACAAAACATCTCAAATCATCGTTTTTGAAAGGGAAAAACCTTAAAGCCTATTTGAAAGCAGGCATAATCATGAATCCACTTCCTTTGTTTCGTCTACAAGTAAATGTGTGTTGTAGAAACTACAGAATCAAACGCGAATCCAGTCGACATACTCGGAGACCTTCGTTTTATCGAGAGAACTTACTACGTTTCTTTGTTTTCATAAAGTATCTAGCCATTCAATTTGTAAAAGTGTAATTGTTCGGTTTCCAAACGCTTATTTGCTCAGGTTTTTTAATGCATGGATATCTTGCCTATTCCTTAATGCACAATTGAGCGTCAACCTCAAGTTCCCGAGCTTGATGGGAACTTGCAGCTGCTACTGGCTCTCATGAATTTTGTTATGGATTTTTGATATTTGTGGGAAAACCGCTCAGTAAACCTGTCGTAATCCTTGATATGAGACTGGTGAAGCGAAAGGCTCGCATATGAAATTCGCAATGCTATGCAAACCGCTAAGGAGCTTCTAGCTTTTTGAACAATTGAGGCAAAATATGCTCTCACCGGTGCCGTTCTGCTCGAAAAAACCTTTACCGTCATCCTAAAATGTAGGTGAATAGGTGATTTTAAAACTAATTGTAAGCTGAGACCCTACAATGTTGTACCTAGGAATTTGCGGAAGCACTACAGAAAACTACAGAAAGGGAGTAATTAGCGATGAAGTTTGCATTTTTGAGACGTTTTCCGCTTCTAGGCAACACAGAGAATTACATTACCACCCTCTTTAGAAGTCTTTTGTGCAGTAAGGCAAGGCTTTTTTTTTCAGAATTTCCTCGATTTTTTTTTGTTTCAGTTTAAGTTATAGAAGGTCGTCAAGGATTCGGTTTGGAGGTCATGTCCGGGCAAGGTTGTGGTATGCGTGATTTTAATCTATGTAAAGTAAACACCTTCAAACACGCTTGCACAAATGCGAAGTCATAAACTTGTACCATAAGCAAGGGAGGGATCCGCTAAGAATGTTGGTAGATACGCCCCATAGGTGCGATGAGGTGAGAATGACTCCTCCAGGGTGAAGGGGGTCACAGTGGTCGCAGCCCTTCCAGGGTGATGTGTTTCACTTAATCGAGAAACTGTAAAATGTCGACCGAGAGGGGGAGGGGCAGGGAGGGGAGGAGAATGATGGTGTTTTCTCATCACTCTCTCTAATCAACGTTTTATCATTTTTAATTCTCTACCATCATTTGCTGTCTTGTTTGTGAAGACTGAAGTAGGATAGGAACTATACTGTCTGTTTTCGAAAATACCATAGAGTAGAAGATGTATATGCAAAAACATCTGTTCTGAAAAGAGAGACAATTTTTGAGCATTTACAATTTAAAAAAAATTCATAACTTCTGTAGATAAACAGCAATGTCAGCAAGGAAATTGTTTTCAAAATCGCCTTTTATTTGTTCGGGAATCATAAGTTTCTCTGCGGTCATTTCAAAAAAGTGCTTGACGAAGCGCGTGGGTAGTTATTTCCAAATATTTACAAACTTTTAGATAAAAAAATCCATACCTTCTGTAGATGAAGATTTTGTAAGCCGAGATGGTTACCGTCGGAACCACTTGTTCTCCGCTTTCCGAGGATATAAAGTTTACCTAGAGTTTTTGAAAAAAGTGCCTGGTGAAGGGAAATGGTAAATGATTTCTGGATGTTTACGAGTTTTAAGAATAAAAAAATTCATATCTTCTGAAGATGAACAAATTGTACAAGGAAATAGACGCCTTCACCCGGCACTTTTTTTGACTGAGTCCAGACAAAGTGGCCCGTAGTAAAGCTCGGTCACGGGAGATGATCTTCCCTGAGGCGCTCATATGAGGCTTTGTCGGGTGAGATGAGGACTGCCCACTTTTCCGTGATGTAAGTATGCAAGGTCACCCTACAGGTGAACTTCAGATGAAGCCCGGCAGGGAGATCAGCTCCCGACCGAGTCATCGGAGATGAGCCGGGCGACGACATAAGGGAAATACTGTGCTAAAGAGGAGAGCACAGAGAAAATCTCCGTAAGTTGTCCCGAGTAACTTACGAAACATCGCAGATGACGTTCTTTTGCGGTCCAAAACTCCCAAAATTGCACAATTTCGGGCGCCTAAGTGAGTGAGGATCGATGAACAGCTGATTGCGCGACAAAATCGGAAAAATATTTTTTTTGACATTTTCTTGCAGTTGTTGCTTGTTTTTCTCAAAGAAACGCTTCAGATAACAAGAATGTGAATTTACGTTTCTATTTATTTTTGTTATTTCTCGTATGTATGCCAAAATGTGTATTTGTTTTATGTCGTTGTTTGCTAGGTGAAATCTCTGATAGCGGCTACCATCGATTTTTCGATAGCGGCCGCTATCAAAGGTCGCCGGGCCCAGCAAAAATGGTGGCGCTAGTCGCACGCGAACCACGGCTCTGCCGCCTGCAACGCATTAACCTTATGCATTCGACCACTAATGCACGAATGGCAGAAACGTTCCATCTTTACAAACGCGAACGTCCAGTAAGTGGTCTGCTCCAAATCAATCACTCCCCTGGCAATGTGCTGAGGCGCTATGAGATCAACTGCTGTCCGCCTCAAGAGAGATGCCCTGATGGGGGTTTACTACGGGCCAGTATATATTTCATGAAAACAGAGAACGAGGCGTTTCCGACGGTAAATATTTCCTTGTAAATGTTATTCATCTACAGAAGTTAGACAATCGAAAGTCTCCAGAAATTACCACACCCTTTACCCAGGCACTATTTTGAACGAATCTCAGACATGCTATAAATTTTCTAAAAACGGAGGACGGGACGGTTTCGACGGTTTCTGTTTTAGCCAATAGTCAAGATTTTTATGAACTCTTAATTGGTTAACGTTTCGACATTTATTCGTTTTTTTTTCGTTTACACAAGTACACAATATGCTAAGATTGAAAAACAGCAGAATATGGAAGGTTACTGCTTCCTTGTACCAGCTATTCATCTACAAAATTTATGATTTTTTCTAATGTTTAAAATTTCATAAGGCCTCGGACATAGTTCACGCGATTTGATCGTCGCGATTCAATCGCTACAGACAAGTGTTACGAGTTTATTGCATGCCGATCTTCTTGCATTTCGGTTGTGATAGTTTTCCAACACGACTAATCGTGACTAACTATCACAACCAATATGCAAGTAGATCGGCATGCAATGAACTCGTAACACTTGCTGTAGCGATTAAATCGCGAATCAAATCACGGTATTAATGGACCCTAGGTAAACTGTTTAGTCCTTGAAACCAGAGGGGAACGTTGTACCACAGAACTTTCCTCGCTGACGTTGCTGTGCAGCTACAGAAGCTGTCTTTTCCTCCTGGAAGTTCGTAAATGCCTATAAATCTGCTTCCTCCTTTCCGACACACAAACAATCCCTGTACAAATATCGCCTTTGCTTAACCTTGACCTTACCTCACTGTTGATTTTTTCCTCGGCTTTCGGTGAAGGGAGTCATCTTGGTCCCAGTTCAGGGGTAAAAAGGGCGTGAGCAAATTCTTACACTATCGCACCTATGATACGCCTTACAAAAAAGTCTCGTCAATCTGCGAATTTCAAGCTGTAAGCTAGTGTGCGCATACCTGCTACAGTCAAAATGGTGAATATTCACAATGACTTTGCGTCTCAGCGGGTGAACTGCCCACTCGTTCAAATTTCATGTTGAAGGACTTTACGAACCGCTTGCTCGCCGTGCTTGCGTTCTAATGGATTTCCGCACTTTAACATGGCGGATAAGCCCAGATGAGCGAAGAAATTAGAAGTATGCCAAACGCTGCTCTCAAGAGTACAAGGGAGGATTTACGTTGCAATTGTCGCATCTAGGTTTGCAGATCAAGAGCGGTATTTAACAGTGTTCCGATGATAGATTGGGCGCTGTCTCGCAATTAGGGTTGAGCCAGACTTCGCGGGGAAGCGGCGTACGCGGCGTACGCAGCGTACGCTCGGTATATTTCATCATAGGAGCATACGCGGCGTACGCTGCGTACGTCGCGTACGCCGCGCAGTCTGGCCCAACCCTTAGAAACGAGCATCCGTGCAAGCCAGAGTGCCATTCCTTCAAACAATGAGATATCGGACGCATGACTCAGCAGAGCCCGATCTGTTGTAATAATTGGAGCCTTACGCGAAGTGGCCTAATTTGCTAACGGAGA